CCCGCCCAGTTATAAACACGGGAACTCAGGGGTTTGGAGTGTGGTGTGTTGTGATGTAAATAAAATGGCTCAAAACACTGATCACTGGACCCGCCGTGCCTTATTCACACCACACTGGCATCATTGCACAGGCTGCCAGTTAGTTTTAGAATTAATTTTCAGATTTTATTATTTGTTTTTAAGGCTTTGCACAGATTAGCACCCTCATAGCTTTCTGATCGCTTAAATTGGTACAATTTCATGATTCTTTTTCTTAACTCTTATCATGTCTCCCTATGTTTTTATTTTTTTAATTATCTTAATTGTACAGCGATTGTGATATAATTGTGATATATAAATACATTTGACTTTGTCATTGTCTTCATGCTTGCATGCATGTAATCTGAATGAATTGCTTACCATCAAAAAGAAAGTCTGTTCTAAAAGGTTGTCGTCATTATACATATTTATGTGATACTGTTTCAACACTCTGATTCTTTGTCCTACCAGGTGATATTGGTTCATCCCAGTGAGGCAGTCACAGAGCTGCGCAGGATGAACAAAGAGGAACCTGACAGGATCTTCTTCAAGAGCCAGTTCCGCTCAGGCTTGTTCACTAGAACGACCACGTGTAACGTATGTATACGTCCAACTGAGCAGCCTGTGTGTAACTACACTGACCTCCATACAGGTGAGCCATGGTTCTGCTACAAGCCAACAAATCTGAGTTGTAATGCCAGGATCAGCAACTACAATGGAGGATATAAAAAAAACCTGACAACTATGGAAAAACTTTTTCAGAGGTGAGCATTATCTGTGGTGTTAAATTTCTGGAGTGACTAAAAATGTATATACTGTGCATAATACATTTAATTTTCTAGTTCAAAAAGATGTTCTTTCCAAATTTTGTGAAGATGTTAATTGTGTATGCTTTCCTTCAGAGGTGTAAATATGAAAGTCTCCATTCCGGCTTCAGGACCAGCCAGCGTCACCATTTTGCCAAAACAGAAAGGTACGCTAACATCTATATCTCCATAATGAAATATTTAAAAAAGGTTGTGATATATATTATAAGCAGTTGGCAGGTCAAACATTAATAAATAAATAAATTAAAACTCCCACAACATTTACTAGCATCTTCTTGATATTGGACACCTATAGGATGTGTCAAGGTTATTTTAAGAGTAAGTGATCAGGAGATCTGGAGAACTTTATTGATGCGTTATTGATAACACTAACAGCTGGGGGTGTTCTTATGAAAGCATAGTTCAAGATGTGGATGAAATTAACTTACCGTAGGGGTCTCTTATAAAATTACAAAGAAACTTCTGGGAATTGGGCAGTGCAGTGAGGTTTACCTCATTAAAATTAGATTGATCTCTCATGTAGAAGGGCAGATCGTTGGAAGCCAATCAATGACTAGTAATGGGAATTGAAAATAGCACAGTGATTCTGCTA